TGGAAGAGAAAAAGGAAAAAATACCCATTTGTTTTTGAAGAAATTACATAGACTCTTTAAAGTTGTCATTCTAAGATGCTTATTCTTATATAGATAGGGAAATCTTACTATGTAAAAAGGTTTTTTTTGGGTGGGGGGGAGTGGCTTTAAAACTTAAAATCCTGTTTCTGCATCATATCTTGCCTTTACTTACTTAAAAATTTCTTCTAAGTGTGATTTGAATGAAGACTAAATTCAGTTATTCAGTTACCTCTTTTTTTGAGCACCCAGTAGCAACATGGAAAAAATATGGTTTTACTAAATTTATGTATTCTGTAGTTATCAGGTTGGTATAAGTCTTTTCATTGGGGGTATTTTGGATATAGATGGGATCCATGTGTAGTGTCTATGACAGATACATTGTGTCTCAAGAATTCTAAATATTCTTGCTCGTTACTGGTCTTCCAAAAATAACTGACATAGATGGGATTTCCTAAATATGTCAAATTCCAGTTTTTGTAAATTATATTGATATGAAAGGACTATGATTAGTGCGTAGAGGGCACAGGCTTTTCCTGTCAACACCAGCGTTGCATGGTTCCTCAAACATGGGACACAATGGCACAGAAAGATACTCGCCACTGCTGTGATGCTGGTCTGATCTTCCTTGGATGTCTTCCTGCTGGCCTTGGCAAATGTTTTTGGTGGAGCAGTTGCCTTACCCAAGTCCTTTACTTGGGACATTGCTCTAACTACGTCCCCTGGTGGCTGCTTAATAGCTATAGCTGTTACTTAGGCCATGGGAAATATGGCAAGAGACTTGATTCTCTCCTAGCTTCTTGCTTAAAGTTATTCTGTAGAGCAGCCAGCTTCGTGGGATACAGGAGTTGAAGAAGGAATGTCACAGCTATCAGCATTCCTCTTAGGACCAAATTTTTCTGTAAGCGCCTAAGAAGCCTTCAGAGTCATCTAGCTAATTTGGGTCTAATTTGATGAAATGCCTTGATCTTATGTGTTCTCACAGTATCTAAATAGCCATCAAAGCCATTTCCTTCAAAAGGCC